CTCCATTCAGGTCCCTGCAAAGGACATGATCTTGTTAATTTTTATGGCTGCATAGTATTTCATAATGTTTATGTACCACATTTTCTCTATCCTGTCTATCATTGATGGACATTTGAGTTTAGTCAATGTCTTTGCTATTGCAAATAGTGCTGCAATGAACATATGTGTATATGTATCTTTACAGAAGAATAATTTATTTATATTCAATTGAATATATCCAGTAATGGGATTGCTGGATCAAGTGGTAATTCTGGTTCTAGGTCTTTGAGGAATTGCCACACTGTCTTCCATAATGGTCGAATTAATTTACATTCCCACCAACCGTGTAAAGATGTTCCTATTTCTCCACAGGCTTCCCAGCATCTATTGTTTCTTGACTTTCTAATCATCACCATTCTGAGTTCTGTGAGACGATATCTCATTGTGGTTTTGATTTACATTTCTCTGATGATAGTGATGTTGAGCTTTTTTTCATATATTTCTTGGCCACATAAATGTTTTCTTTTGAGAAATGTCTGTTCATGTCCTTTGCCCACTTTTTAATGATTTTTTTTTTTCCTTGTAAATTTGTTTAAGTTCCTTGTAGATTCTGGATATTAGACCTTTGTCAGATGGATAGATTCCAAACATTTTCTCCCATTCTGTAGGCTGCCTATTCACACTGATTATAGTTTCTTTTGCAGTGCAGAAGCTCTTTCGTTTAATTAGATCCCATTTGTCAATTTTTGGTTTTGTTGGAATTGCTTTTGATGTTTTCATCAGGAAATCTTTGCCCATGCCTATGTCCTAAATGGTATTGCATAGATATTCTTCTAGGGATTTTTTTGTTGTTGTTGTTATAGTTTTGGGCTTTACATTTAAGTCTTGAATCCATCTTGAATTACTTTTGGTATAAGGTGTAACAAAGGAGTCCAGTTTCAATTTTCTGCATATAGCCAGTTCTCCCAGCACCATTTATGATATAGGAAATCCTTTCCTCATTGTTTGTTTTTGTCAGGTTTGTTGAAGATCAGATTGTTGTAGATGTGTGGTTTTATTTCTGAGTTCTCTATTTTGTTCCATTGGTCTATGTGTCTGCTTTTGTACCAGTACCATGCTGTTTTGTTTATGGTAGCATTGTAGTATAATTTGAAGTCAGGTAGTGTGATACCTCCAGCTTTGTTCTTTTTGTTTAGGATTGTCTTGACTATGTGGGCTCTTTTTTGGTTCCATATGAATTTTAAGGTAGTTTGTTCTAATTCTGTGAAGAATGTCAATGGTAGTTTAATGAGAATAGCTTTGAATCTATAAACTACTTTGGGCAGTATGGCCATTTTCATGATACTGAGTTTTCCTATCCATGGGGATGGAATATTTTTCCATTTTTCATGTGTCTTCTCTGATTTCCTGAGCAGTGGTTTGTAGTTCTCCTTCAAGAGGTCCTTTGCTTTCCTTGTTAGCTGCATTCCTAGGTATTTTATTGTCTTTGTAGCAATTGTCAATTAGAAGGAACTCTTCTTAAGGAGCAGTTAGCAGTGGATCTCACCACTCTGCATTTTCTAGTACTGTTCCAGGTCATTTGATTTTGATTCTATAGTACAATTTAATTATGTAAATGTTTTTGAAATCCTGCCAAATAAAAGTGTGAGGAAATAACTGGTTGATATTTTTTTTTCATAAAATTTTGCTGATTTCTCATGCTGGTAGTCAACCAAGTTATCTAGATAATTGTGGCCCTTTTGACTTCTCCTGAAGTTGCCTTTTTCTCAGCTTCCTCACCTTTAATGAGTGTCTAGGTGTGTTAACTGGTGAAGGGAGAAAGATAAAAAGGAAGATACGAGAACTGAAAGAAAGTCAAACACCAATCTATAGCAATGACTTAATATTTACTTCTGTAACATGCACATTTGAGGATGCTACATGGCATTTCTTGAATTAACTCTTTTCCTAATGTTCCACTTGAAGTTATGATAGGTTATGTGTATAATAAGTACAAAAATCATTTGAGGGTCAAGTTTAATTCTAAACCTAAATAAATTATTTATATTACCATATAACCAGCCTTATCCAGTTGTGAAAACCATCCAGCAAAATTCTCTGCCTCTTTCTGATCGAGAACAACTGGTCAATAAATACGCCAATTTAATACTTCAGGTTAGGGCAACTGGAGGGGAGGTAAAAATCAAAGCCTGGGTGTAAAATCTCATAGAAGATAAGCCAGATTGCAACTCTACTACTTAATAACTATTATTAAGTTCCTCTGAGCCTCCATTTTCTCAAATGGAAAGTGAATAATAAGATCCACCTTGGAGAACACTTTTGAGGATTAAGTGAGACACATGTAAAGCACTTAAAATTGTATTTTGTTCATAGATATACTTGCAGGTATTTTTCTCACATATTAGCACTCGCAAATATTTTTTTATTTTTTTATTTTTTTATTGCAAATAATTTTTTAAAAGGAAATAGAAACTCACTATATTTTAACCACATTAAAATAGATCCTCTTGGTAATATTTCTAAAATTTAAATCTTTTATTGAAGATGGTCTTCCCAAATTCAATTTTTTAAAAGACCCTTAACCCCAGTTTGTTACTGAATTAAAATGCAGTCTAGTTTTCTGAAGACATATAGGTGGGAGAAAGTCAAGGGTGGGAGAATGTTTAATGGAAACTGGCAAGCAAATTATTAACTTGTGGACTTTCTTTAAAAAGAACAATATGTGCATATTTTGTTGACCAAATACAACTCTTTCTGTGCAAATACTTCATAACTTGGTTGCAGAGAAGACATGAGTCTGAAAACTCCTTTTTTTACTTTTATACTAAAGCTGGATTTAAACATTATAATGATTTGAATTATTCAATACCACAGATGTCCTCAGATCTTCACAACTGTTACAATCCAAGAACCCAAATGGAGTGAAAATGAGACCTCAGGCTCCAAAGAAATTACAACGATAAGTCACAAATATGTAATGGACAGATAAGAGGAAAAAATATAGAATGAACATGTGATAGCTGGCATGTGGCAAGACGGAATCTGAGAAATGAATTTCATCGAAATGGAAGATGAAATAGGTGATACATTTTATAGTTACCTATTTTTACTTTGAAGATTGGATGGAGGAAAGCTATCATCTTCTTGGTTATATTAGGACTCAGCAAGTAGATATTCATCTATAAGTTAATTCAACCATTCCTTTAGCAACCATAATAAGAAGTGCTGTTGACTAGAAGTAAGAATGCCAGCTCTTTCTTGAATGAGAAGCAAACTAAAGCTATTTCTTCTTTTTCTGGCTGTTCGATCTCAGGCTAGCATGACTGTAAGTAACTTCATTTCAGTTTTCTTATTTGTAAATTAAGTATGCCTACCTCATGAAGGATCACTCTAATAAAATTGCAAAAAAAAAAAAAAAAAAAAACAGATGGGGGGAATAAAATATGTAAATAGATTTTAGTCCAATGCCTGGCACACAGTATGATCTAAAGTAAGTAATTGTTATCATTTCTGAGTTCCTGCTGTTTACTAGGTACCATAGCTAACATTTTATATGACTTACGTCATTTAATTTGCACAACTTTAGCTTGGTTGGGAATAATTATTCTTCTTTTAAAGAGGAGAAACCCAAGATCCAGAAAACTTACATAATTTGACCTTGTTTATTCAGAAGTGGTAGAAATCTGAATTGAACTCATAGCTTTCTGTCTGATGTGGTTTGACTGTGTCCCCCAAAGCTCATGTGTTGGAAACTCAGTCCCCAGTGCAATTGTATCAAAAGATGAGACCTTTAAGACATGATAAGGCCATGAGGGCTCTGCCCTCACAAATGGATTAATGTTTTTGTGGTGGGAGTGGATGACTTATCATAGGACAACTGCTTAAAAGATTTTCATTAAAACAATGTGTTGGGCCCTCTTCCTCTCACTCTCTCTTGTGCTTGCTTTTTTACTCTTCTGCCTTTGGCCAGGGGATGACACAGCTAGAAGGCTCTTACCCAGTGTGGTTCCTTGATCTTGGTCTTCCCAGCCTCTAGAACTATAAGCCAAATAAACATCTGTTCTTTATAAATTATCCAGTTTTGGCCAGGTGCAGTGGCTCAAGCCTGCAATCCCAGCACTTTGGGAGGCCGAAGTGGGTGGATCACCAGAGGTCAGGAGTTCGAGAACAGCCTGGTCAACATGGTAAAACCCCATCTCTACTTAAAATACAAAAATTAGCTGGGAGTGGTGGTATACACCTATAGTCCCAGCTCTCAGGAGGCTGAGGCAGGAAAATTGCTTGAATCCTGGAGGCTGAGGTTGCAGTGAGCCAAGATCGTGCCACTGCACTCCAGCCTGGGTGACAGAGTGAGACTCTGTCTCAAGAAAATAAAAAGTGAAAAGAAATTATCCAGTCTTAACTATCTGTTATGGCAGTACAAAATGGACTAAGACACTGACCTGCAAGTCCTTGCACTACCATTTCCTTTTGTTTCCATTTGTTTTTGCTATAATTTTATCATGCATCCCTCATTTTAAGGACAAGATTATTTTCTCTACAGCCATTATTAAGAGTTATTTAAAACTGCCTTATAATGCTGTTCTCTGGGGTTTTCTATATGTTTATCTTCTCTTCCAGAAACTTAATTGATTTCCCTTAAGAAAGATAATGAGTCATGACGTACTTATCTCAGCATTTCCCCTAGGACAAAACGAATACATAGGTGCATAACAGCTGCTAAATAAATGACAAAATAATACAGCATAGGCTGTATTTTGCTACACTGTAATTCAGGTTAAGACTTACATTTAAGGCATCTTTTTATCTTCAGTACTTAGAATGTTTAAATGAATGAGGAAATAACACCCAGTTCAACTAAAGGAGAAAATAACCCTAAATAGCCATAAGGAATGTTACTTCATTACAAAACCATCTATTGACTGAATTGTTTATGAAATATTTTCTCCTATTTAAAATTTTCTCATTTTCCAATAACTGACATATAACTATCTTTATATCACTGAAACTTCTAGAAATGGAAAAGAACGCTTGCATCAATCAACACTTGATTGCATTCAGGTATAGTAATTCTGATTACAGTAGCTTTGATACATTTTTATGTTTTAATTTTCTCCCTATATTCAAATTGACTTGTAGGATGTTCTTACAGGGAAAATAGAGCAAGCAGGACTTTTGACATAATCAATTCGATTTCAAATTTGGGTTCCATCTCTTGGGTTGTCCTTTCTTATGGGAGAACTATCAGAAAGAATGGAGGCTATTTTGAAGAGAATAGCTATCTAAATCACCTGCATTGGCAAAGAACCATAGTAAAACTGTATACATTCATACTGTTTGTGTGTGTGTGAGAGAGAAAATTTATCTTTAAATAACTACTTTTCAATCAATTAATCAGTAAGCATTTATTTAGTACATAATCTATATTGGGCACTCTGCTAAATGCTTTTGGAGACAAATTTATGACATAGTTGTTCCATATACTCTTACACTAAATATTTGATATTTAGATTTTTTTCCTGACAAACATGCTCCACCTGAACTCTTCTAACATCCTATAGCTTCTTTTATTGTCCTGCTATTTTTGCCTGTCTGCTCCCATGGATTTGTCTTTTTAGACCTTCTCTGGCTCTTCAGCTTTGATGTCACCACTTACATTATATAAGTGAATTGTGCCTTGCACAATGCCAGGATGTGTCCATCCTATATGACCATTGTGGATTTATCCCAAATGAATCTTTTCTCTGACTCTTTCTATAAATTATAGGCTTCCTTTTGAAGATGAAATAATTCACTGTCCATGAGTTAAACAATTCTGGGACAGGTGACTTCACTGGTCCTGCCTTAAAACATACTATGACCAAGCAGTATTTTACCCACCAACTAATCTTTCTCAAATCCAACCACTTCCCCACTTTTGAAGACACACCTTATTCAGCTCAGGTTCTAATATCCCATATACACCCTTCTCTAGTTTTCTCACTTTGAGATACTACAAACACTCTTCTAAGTTGGTGTTCTCCATTACTACACAGTGGCCTAATAAAGTGAGCTTTTTGGGGGAGTTGGTAATCAATACCTTTTAAGTGGGATTTCCTTTCTAATATTGTACCCTCTTCAGCCTACCTTGTTTTCAGAGTGCATGGTAACCAAATAATTTAAGCATTAAAAATCTAATGATTACAGAATAACTGCACAACAGCTGCTAAATAAATGGCAAAGTAATACAGTATAGGCTGTATTTTGCTACACTATAATTCAGCTTAAGACTTACATTTAATGCCTTTTTATCTTCAGTAATTAAAGCATCTAAATCAATGAGGAAAAACACCCAGTTTAACTAATTGTCATTGAAAATTCTTACGGTTACAGAATAACTACATTTTAAAGAGCAAAAGGAAAGAAAAAGAATACTCAGAAGAAAATTCCAAAACCCATAAGTAAATGCAGGTTCTGGTGTGGAAGAAATGCCTTCAGTTTTGAATCTGCAAATATATGATTCCATAGGTACATGAGCATTTTTTTTTCTCCTAGGTGTTCTACTTAACTTTCATAATTGCTAATCTCTGTGTCTGGCATGAATCTAAGGGTCTTACATAATTCATTTTGTTTAATCATTACCTCAAATAAGATTTTTATTTTTGTCCCATTTTATAGCTAAAAATACTAAGCCACAGACAGGTTAACTAACTTGTCATTAGGCATAAAGTTAGTAACTGATGAAGCCAGGTAGTATCATAGACTTGAAGCCTCTATGGCATACTATGTTCTTGAAATATATGTAGTCTTGTTGTCTTAAAGAGTCATAGGGGCACACCGATTATGACCACATTTGAAACATTCACCAGATGGGTGATGATTTATTCATCTTGTATTATAAATTTAAACATAATTTAATCACTGTCACCATTATCAATTGTGCATGCTAATTTGTTGTATAATTTTATGTAAAATACATGAGCATCTTTTGTATGAAAATCCTAAATATCTCCACATATTAACATAATTTAATGTTTTATTTGTATGCATTGTATGTCAAACTTGAGTGACAAGTTGAAAATAATACATAATATATTTTTCAATCTTGATTATAGTGGTCAATATAAGATGGTTAGTTACTTTTTAAAACAAAGATAGATTTTCTAATAAAATGACTGAAATATATATAATAAAACTATTTTTTTCACACTGTCCTTATTTCCAAGGTTACTCTCTCAATGTTGTGATTTTAATTGCCTTTATGTTTATATTACTAGGCATGATGGATTAAAAAAACACATTTATGATTAAGATTTGAGAAGGTAGCTTATAATTAGTACACTAAATTGCAAAAATACACACACATTATGGTTGTCAATTAATATGCAAAATTACATTTCTGAAGTAAGTATATTTTATAATTTTTTTAAATATTTGAGTTATAATGTGACCTTCAACTTACATTAAATGTTTAAGAGCAATGTATTTCAGGAGGAATAATATAACCAATGCTTGTAATGCAGTGCTCATTTACTTTTGTCTGCATTATGGTAATACTTCCTGACTCCCTTGCCTCTTTTTCTTCTGAATTTCTCTCTACACTGGCAACAGACTGATCTTCATAAAATGTAAGAACAATATTAACCTTTATTTGAAATTCTCAACTGTCAAATAAGTAAAATTTATTACAAGTATCTAAAAAGGTGCCCAACATCACCAATCGTTTGAGAATTGCAAATCAAAACAACGAGATCACCGCCCATCTGTTAGAATTGCTGTTATCAAAAAAAGATACAACAAAAGATAATAGTGTTGATGAGCATGTAAAGAACGGGAGCCATTGCATCCTGTTAGCAGGAACTCATACTAATACAGCCATTGTAGAAAACAGTATGGAAGTTTCTCAAAAAATTAAAAATAAGACTACTACCATATGATCCAGCAATCCCAATTCTAGGTATATATCCAAAGGAATTAAAATCAGGGTCTCAACTAGATAGATATCTGCACTACTGAATTAATTGCAGCAGTATTCACAATAGCCAAGATGTGGAAACAACCTAAATGTCCATCTACAGATGAATGGGTAAAGAAAATGTTGGATATACATACAATAGACTACTATTCAGTCTTATAAAAAAGAAGGAAATCCTTCCATCTGTGGCAACATGATGAACCTGGAGGAGGTTATGCTAAGTGAAATAAGCTACACAGAGAAGGACACATTCTCCGTGACCCCATTTGTTTGAGGAATCTAAAATAGTTGAACTCAAAGAAACAGAGAGTCGAATGGTGGTTCCCAGGAGTTGGCAGGGAATGAATAGGTATTAGTCAAAGAGTACAAACTTTCAGATATGCAAGATGAGTAAGTCCTAGAGATACGCGGTACAGCATAATGTTTGTACTTAACAATGTTGTACTGTATACTTAAAAGTTCACTGAGGGTCAATCTTATGTTACATGTCCTATCACAAAAATGTAATAAGGAGGGCAGAAGAAACTTTTGGAGGCGATGAATAGGTTTATAGTGTAGATTGTTGTGATGGTTCCGTGGGTATACACTTATCTACAAATTCATCAAGGTTTGTACATTAAATATGTAGAGTTTCGTACATCCATCATACCTCAATAAATTTTTTTTAAGCAAAATTTAAACTTCCTTGCATGACCTCCAATATCCTCCACAATTGGACAACAGCTACCTGTTATTTGAGTCGTTCAGGCCAATTTTTTTTTTTTTTGGTCTGAATTAATTATATATTTTTAAATCCGTGTGTTTCACTCCTGTTTGGCGTTTGCTCACTCTCTAGTCTGCTAATGCCCCGTGTTTTCTTGGTCCACTATCTTGAAGCTTCAAGTTATCTACTTTGTCAAAATTAGTTATTGGAGTTTACAGAGAACTTTTTAAAAATATCTTAATTTTCATGTAATTTTTTTCTCTCTTATCCACCTAAAGCATTGTTTATGTGACTATTCTGTAGCCTTGAAGGTAGAAAAAGGTTTTATTTATCTTTATATACCCAAGACAGAACTAACCACAGTGCTTCCAGAAATTAGGGTTTTATCAAATTAGGTACTACGAATTATTTCCCAGGATGGTTTGTAGACAGTATGGCATATATTATCTTCTAAAAGTAACTAACCTCAAAGGGTTTATAAATTGCTGTACTATGAAAGAGAGATATTAAAATCAAACCAATTATTTAACTTCACATAAATAAAGCATAAGATATATTAGAAATTTTCAGTTTCTAAATATTAATATAGAAAGGAAAAACATGAAGCGTATATATTTTTAAACAAAAGTATTAATACAAGAAATTGAAAGTGAAAAATTTTAGTCTGTAAACTAAAAGAAAGAAACTAAAAGAAACTAAAACTACAGAAGTTTTAGTTTGTAAGTTTAGTCTGTAAACTTATCATAATTCCAGTAAGAAAGGCCAGATTTAAAGGTGGAATAATTATTTTTAGGACTAGGAACAGTTTGTTAAGATAGACAAATAATAACATAACATACATAGTAGCTAAGTTCAAGAAAGATCTAAACAAATGTCATGTATCACTAATTCATGAGTAGTTATTATAAAAATTTAGAAATCAAATAAGAAAATTGTATTATTTTCTTATTACTTAAATACTTTTTATTACTTAAATATTATATTTATTTTATAATATATAATATAATTTTAAATATATTTAAATTAATGTATATAATTACATATACATTTGGTATATAATTATATATTTGAAAATAATACACTATTGAAGGAAACAGTAATAATAATACTAGTAATAATATTCACCCTTATTTCTAGTAATGTATATCATAAACAAGATATCTCCCAGGGAACCGAAAATAATGGCAGCAGTTTAAACCCATGCTCCCAAATACTATTTAAAATTTAAAGCAGAGTATCAAGGATACATAAAATACCAAAACAACATTCTTTCAGCATGCCTGAAGACAAAGAAATAGTTCAAATTTTAAATTATCTGCATATTAAAAAAAAAGAAGTAAAACACGAAATACCAAGAAGCAATATCTCACACTTTTGCCACAAGTCTTTGACATGAACAAGGTTAGTCCAAGAAAAACTCCATGGAAGGTGGAAAAGAGAACATAGTAGTTTTTCTCAAATATGGCGCGTTACTGCTCCATAAAAAGTACCTCCACCGTTTGTATGCAAATATTGAAAAAGTGTCCTGGTAGATCAGAGCACTTAAAAACACATGTTGTTTGAGAAGCCCATCTTTGAAAAGTATAACCACTAGGGGAGAAAACTGTTAAATGGTATGAATAAGTATCACTTGGCAGTTAGATGGTGAAAAAAAAAAAAAAAAGAAGCAAATTTTATATATTAGGACACTAAAGAAAAAAAACAATTATTGAATTAAGAATCATGCAAACATTCCAAATCCACAAAAAGAATAGATAAAAATTAATAATATCATTAAAACTTACAAGAAGATTTCAGAAAACATGGAACAAACACACCTTAGCTGATAACATTCACCTATCCAAACTAAAGTTAGTATATTTAAACTGATTTGAGTATATCCAGAATAGTATTTGGGAAAATTAGAAACCATCAATTACAAATTCAAATTTTTTTAAAAAAAGAAATAAATATTTTTTAAAATGTTGATTGAAAGAAGGTTGGTTGGAAGACAGGAACATAATCATCTTCAACATGAAGAATAATTTACAAAAAGTCCAAGGTAAATGGATTTGAATGAAAATGGAGTAAGCCTTTAAGGAAAGTTAACACCATAAAAATAAACAGAGGTTAAAAAAGAGGTGAAAAAGTCAGAGATAAAGTGGTAAAAATGGAAGGCTAATAAAATAATAACAACACATATAATCAGAGGCCCTAAAAAACAAATATTTAAATCTATAATCCAAGACAACTCCCCAAAAGGCCTAAGTGAATATATTAAAAGGGAATGTGAGTATTTGTGCAAAATTAAGCAACAATAATCAAATCTAAGATTTACAAAACTATTTAATTTCACAAAAGCCTCCAGGCAAAATATTGAATAACTGACTAGGACAAGGGTACTAGACTGGCATTGTCACCCAAACAACCAGAGAGCACACCTAACTCCCAGATTTTGTTTTCTAAAGGCTTACACTCCCATAGAAGAACCCAGAGCTCCTTGGAGAAATGGCTGACTTTCTGTTGAGGAAAGAAAAGTACAAGATGAGCCTTGAAAATGCTGTGGTACCAGAAAACAAGGAAGTGCTAGCTGCAACATTGGCCTTTTCCATTCATCCTTCATTGATATTCTTACAGTTTCCAATGCCCAGGAGTATGGATTTTTTTTTCTGTTCCACTTTTATTCAGTCTGCCCCTTCCAGCAGCAAATCTGTTGTTTTTTGCAATGTGAAGGTTGGTGGGGAGGGTAGATTAAGAGTAGGAAGCCCCCACTGATGAACTGCAGACTCCCTCCCATTATTCTTACTTGGAGTTCAGTGATGTGTCTTGAATAAAGGACTTTCAGTTTGTTGTTTGCCTCAATTTACCGACCTGGTTTTGATAACTTCATCAGGTTTTGTCATTAAGTTTTGGGAAGAGATTTTCATGTTTCTCTCTCTGCCATTCTGGAATCCTCCCAGTCTGAGTCTTTAGTCTTTATCTCCAGTTTCCTTGGCTGAAATGGTCACACAGAACCTTCTTGACTGTCATTTTTATTCAGAATGTATGACAAAATAATGATGGGAACAACTAAAAAGTACTTAATTAGAAGAAATCCAACAATCAAATTAATTATAATAAAAGCATCATATATGTAAAAGGAAAGGCATTATATTTATCTGTAGGTTATTGTTTTCTTTCAATCTCAGCTTGACGGACAACGTGTTGGGCACATGCCATTGAGTTTTATCTCTAGATCACAATTTCCTGATATAAAATAAAGGTGTTTGCCTAGATTTTCTTTAGACTTCTTTCATTCAGAAATTCTATGGTTCCATGAGAAAATAGCTAAGATGTCAGTTTTTACAACAAATACGTAGGAAGCCTAAATAAATGTGAAGCCTAAAATAAGTGTGATGAATGTGTGAATTGCCCCTAACCTAGGAAGGAAGAGAATTGTGAATTCATATGACTATGTGAGAATATTAATATCGTAATCAATGTCCAGTTTGATTTGTATGCTGGTTATACATAACTAGCCTTAGAAGGTCAGTCATGAAAAAGGTTGTACTTGCCAGAAACCTTTTTAGTCAAGACATTATAAAAGGAGAGGATGTGAAAAATACTTAAATTCTATGTTATATGTAATGACATTGAACTGGCAGGAGATAGGCTAATGTATCTTTTGGATATTGAATCTCAGCGATCCCCAGGCTGGATATTAGTAAGATTTGAATGTCATTAAGTTGAACAATTTTCCTTCAAAATTTTGCTTAAATGAATTTAATTTCCTTAATTAAAGTTACTAAATATAAAATCATTTGATAGTCAAAAGGTCAGAGGCTTACTTTATTTTAAGAAGTGTAACACTATTCAACTTGAATGATTTATTATAATGGAGATTCAATCCAATGATTCATTTGAGAAAACTGCAAAAAATTATCTTTGGTATTTGTAGTCATTCTTAAACATTTGTACTTGATACTAAATTTGCCCTAGCTTTGGTCCCTGGGTTGTGACACAAATGTAATACTTGAAAATAATTATTGTACTGCATGCCCGAGACTAGAAAGAAGTCAAGTATTTCCAAATCAGACTCAAAAAGTGGCAATAATGAGGAATAAATGATAGCTGCATGTATTCTCCACTAATTTTCTAAATATTTCTTTTCACGATACAGAGGAATTATGTGGCTGTGTAAAAATATATCATAAAACACATATAGAGTCAATACCAGTCAATGGATGAAAGGAACAGATTATCCTAGCAAGCTATTCCAGTAACTAGTCAGCAATTATTTATTAAGTTCCTAACACAGGTCTATCATGTGCTAAGTTTGCGATACACCACTGAGAAAAAGTAAAATATGCACATGTATATATGGTAAGTGATTTAGTTTAGGTAAAATCAAGATAGTATTATGCAGTTTGGATTATCCAGTGTGTTTAAGGTGCACACAAGTTATTTGGGAATTTGTTGAAATACAATTCTGACTTAGTGATTATGGAACAGGATCTGAGATTCAGCATTTCCAACAAACTGCCCTCTGATGCCAATGTAACTGGTTCATGAACCACACATTGAGTAGCAGAAGATGAAGACTATCTTCAATGTTCTCCAAAAGAATGACCCAACTTTTACAATCAGATGTTAAGATACATGAATTGATAATCATGTTTCTGAGGAACTGTTCTCGCTTCTTACTTAATTCTTGATGAATCATGTTTTAGTGAACTGAGAAAGATAATAAACAATATATGATCCTTCCACATTATTTTCTGAATTTTATATTGTTTACTATTTGTATGTTTGGTTCTGATCTTCCCGAGTTTGAAAATGCATTCTATTCAGTCATTGTATTTCATACTTACTATTCATTTCTCAAACAACTAGCCCATTTGCTTTATAAATAAGTATTATTTGAAGAGGTTGAATGTCCACCAAATGCCAAGGAGTTTGCTTTGCCAAAACAGTCATAAGGAATCTGATTTAGATTTAGAAATGTTGAAAGGAATATTAAATTAGCCAAGTTCAAAATTATTTTTGTTTAGAAAATAAATCAATCTAGTCTAATAAATGTTTAAAGAAATAGAAAAAATAAGTTTTCTGATTTTAATTTTAAAATATTAAAATATTTTAAAATGTTGGACTAGTATCCCCAAGAGTGTTTGTCACACATGTTCCTCACGTTCAGGTTTGTGTTTCTTGCCATGAACTGCTTTCTTTGCCATTAGTTGGACCGTTTCCTTTCTTGTATTGAAACATTTTAATAATGATCTGAATTCATTTGGTCTTGGCTTTCTCCTTTAACTCCCGTCTTTCTTTTCTTCCTTTCTTGCCAGTTTGGGCACATGCCACAGTATTCCAAATCCTAAATATTACCATGCCATTTATGGAAGGATTCTCCTCTTAAGTTTCACCTTGTTGTAACATATTAGCATAGCAGAGACACTGAAGGGAAAAAAAAAGTAAAATAAAAATCAAAACGTCATTAGTTTTTCTCTGGGGATTGGTAATCACTTCAGAATTGGTAATCACTGCAAATCACTGAAAATGTTACTCTTAAACAAACTGATTATAAACAACAGGAAGGCATGGGGAAGCTTCCCTAATGAATGAGTTCACCTTACCCCTCAGCCATCCAACAGTCAGAGGAGCTGTGGGGAATTACATCCTCCCCACTCTGGCTGATTAAAAGGCTGACTCCTTCCTTAAGTTTCCTGGAAACTCCAGAAAGAGACACAGGTGGAGGGTCCCCAAAATGAAAAATATTACAATCTGGAGCAGGGTAAAGCATACTGAGAGAAATAAATCTTCCCCTTTGGGAAAAAGATAAAGAAGCATTGCTTGGAAAATAAATATGTTTTTGTAGCATTCAGTACTCAAATTACCATGTTAAACTTTCAATAAAGTCTCATTAATTCAGCCGCATACAATTAAAATTTTGTGTTTCAATATGCAAGACGAGGACACATGAGGAAAATATTAAGCCAGATGACAGGACACCCAGGTCAGAAAGAAAGAAAGCTCCGTAATGGAGTGCAGAGTTTTTCCTTGGATAGAGGCACATTTTTCATTGTTTCTGTATGTCTAACAAGGAAGGGAGATCCAAAATTGTGTGAAAAATCTGTTTGGTTCAACAAAGTCCTAACACATACTACTAAAGGGACATATACAGAGAGAAATTATTCTGTCGATCACCAATGTAAATCTCTTCTTTAAATGGAAAGAGAAGTGCAAGGGTCAGATCAGAGTGAGCAATTTGTTTTTCTGTTTATGCAATAAATGACAAGGGGTTCTAAGAAGAAGAAGAAAAAAAAAGCAACTGATACTTTCAGTGAAAGCAATATTGTTTTCTTCCTCTAAGCGGAAAATACACAAAGAGGTTAGACTAATCTGATAGAAATAAGAGGTCAACAACTGGCTCCAGTGAAATGTCTGCAGGGTACTTCAAGTGAAATTAACCAGTAAAGCAGTTCAAATATATAAACACTTGGCTTAAATATGAAAGTATGTGTGTGCGTGCTATGCAGTTCCATTTCTACTCATTGTTCTTTAAAAGTAGGCAGAATTCTGAGATAACCAACAAAATCTCCACACCTTGGTGCACAATCTCTGTATAATCCCCTCTCTTTCACTGTGGGCAGGACTAAAGATATGATAACTGTCACATGCATAATTAGATCATGTTTTATGTTAACGGTGAAGGGATTCTGCAGATATAATTATAGTCTTAATTCAGTTCATCTTGAGTTAATCAAAACTGAGATTATCCTAGGTGGGCCGGACCTAATCAGATGAGCCCTTCAAAAGAACTGGTCCCTTTCTGAAATCAGAGAGGTTCAAATCATGAGAGCAATCTTCCTGTTGGCTTTGAGAAAAACAAACAGGTAAGTTGTGAGAGGATCTATGCAGGCAGTTTTATGGCAAGGAACTCTGGGCAGCATCTAAGAGCTGAAAGTGACCTCTGACCAATAGGAAAGAATAAAAAATTGAACCTGTGTCCCACAACTGCAAGGAATTAAGTTCTGTCTACAATCTGAATAAACCTTATGAAAACCCTGAGCCTCAGATAGGACCCTAGCCAGGATGTCATATTGATTTCAGCACTGTGAGGCCTTGAGCAAAACCCCAGCTAATACATTCCAGACTCTTGATCTACAGGATCTGTGAGACAAAAATATACATGTTGTTTTAAACTTTAAAATGCTACCACCATTTTGGAAGACAATTCATCAATTCTTAAAAAATTGAAACAGTCTTACCATGCAATCATCAGTTGTGCTCTTTGACAGTTACCCAACTAATTTCAAAATTTAAGTCCACAAAAAATCTTGTATGCAAATGTTCATAGCAGCTTTGGTGATAATTGTCAAAAAGTAGAAGCAACTAAGATGTTTGTACATGATCAGACTAAGGACTTTGTTAAACCAAGCAGAAAAAACTGTGCTGCATTCGTCAGATAAAATATTATTTAATAATTAAAAACACATGCGTGTGCACACACACACACAAAGCTACCAAATTATGAACATATATGGAGAAATCTTAAATATGAATTCCTATGTGAAAGAAACTAATGTGATAAGGCTATGTACTGTATGATTCTAATTATATGAGATTATGGAAAAGACAATCTAGAGAGTGAAAATATCAATGGTTGCTATGGGTTTCAGGGAAAGGGAGGAGGATGAATTGGTGAAGCAAGAGAGATTCTAGGGATAGTGAAACAATTCTGTGTGTTACTGTAACAGTGAATGCATGACATCATGCATTTGTTGAAACCCATGCAACTGTACAATGTGAAGAATGAAACTTAAACTACAGACTTTAGTTGATAATAACACATCAGAATTGATTTATGAATTGTAACAAAGGTACAACACTAGTGCAAGCTGTTAATAATAGGGAAAATTGTGTGCATAGAAAGAGAAATATGGGAACGTTGTCCTATCTGCTCAAATTTTCTACAAATCTAAAACTGTTCTAAAACACAAAGTCTATTAATTTTTTTAAAAGTATCTCAAATGACAACGAATTTTGGTTACAGAAAGAGGGCATGGTGAGTGTTTGGCAAACTGGAGATTTTATATCTCTTCCAAAGGAGACACTCACTACTCAACTCTGCACTTTTTAACATAGGAAAATGGAGCCAATATCTCAAGATATTCTGATTTCTTAGGAAAAACAAAAACAAAAATGGTTTCATATACACAGTATTCTTATTTCAAAATATTGAAAATCAAGTCAATTTGACAAAAATTAAAATATATGTTCTAGTCAGATTTACACCAAAACCAAAAAAGTTCTATTTCTCCTTAAAGAAAATTCACTTGTTTGTAAACTGGCAATAAATTAACATGTAGCTATGGCAAGTTCCATTTTGTTTGATATTATTCACACAGGAAAATTCAGTCCTAAAATAAATCAGCGCATCATGTGCCAGTGCTTTGTCTTATATAAGCCGATTTCCCAAAAGTTGTATTGTACCTGGGGTAGTTTCTTTTTGGTTTATTCGACAAAATCTTATTTACTTTCAACCAACCCTTTTTGTAAGTACAGGAAATTCTCTTTCTCTGTCATGGGAGTCACAAATTATACCATTAAAAAGATTTATTTTGGACTGGGTGCGGTGGCTCACGCCTGTAATCCCAGTACTTTGGGAGGCCGAGGTAGGTGGATAACCTGAGGTCGGGAGTTTAAGACTAGCCCGACCAACATGGAGAAACGCCATCTCTATTAAAAATACAAAATCAGCTGTGTGTGGTGGCACGTGCTTGTTATCCCAGCTACTCGGGAGGCTGAGGTAGGAGAATTATTTGGACTTGGGAGGTGGAGGTTGCAGTGAGCTGAGATCACGCTATTGCACTCCAGCTTGGGCAACAAGAGTGAAATTGTCTCAAAAAAAAAAAAAAAAAAAAAAAGATGTATTTTAGTTGCATTAGTCAAATGGTGGGTATAATGCAGAGACATACCTGGAATGAATGGTGGCCTTTAAATCCCCTGATGTTCATATTAGCATCAGTTAAGCAACAGTGCTACAGTGTGGTATACTCACTCTTTATTTTTTCTAGCCACAAGACTCATGAGAGAGGAGTCCAGTATGAATTAATGCAAAATCCAAATGGCAAATTGCTTTTAAAAAAATTAAATTTTACTTCCAAACACATAAAGGAATTGCAAGCAGTACAGCAAAATAGTGCTTAAGTAGAATTCCCAGACCATTAGCTGTAATGGAAATACAAGCACACATTGTAGAAAGGCATGCATCAAAACTTGTGTAATTAGAATAGGGAATTATAAAAATGTTAAATATATACTTGATTACACCTTACATTTGTGTTTGTTGTAAATACACAGAAACACAAAACCAATATATACCTGACTAGCAATGTTAACAAAGCTTGTTATATCATAGCTAAGAAAATGTTTATTACTATGAAAAATTACTGAATGAGCTTTACAGATAAGGCAACAAGTAAGATTTGGTCCCTTAAGGAATTTATATTTTACAGAATGTATTTAAAAAGTTATATTTTAATAGAACTTGAGTAAAAAATATGTTTTGAGAACCCTAAAGATGAAAAAACTAATTTCAAAAAGAAAAATGAGAGAAGGCTTTCTTAAAAAGAGGTAGCATATAAGATGTATTAAAAATGGAAGATTCCAACAAAGAATGTTCAAGTAAATTCAAATTATGATACAGAGTTTGGAAAATGTAGGTAGACTTTGTGTCCTCGACAGATAATATATTCAGAATATTCTATTTCATACTCCCTGAATATATAGTAAAAGGATATATATCAATATGTCACTAAAGCTAGTGGTAGTGGAAGATAAAGTAATTTCTGGCTTTATGTATTTATTTTAGAATAACGTATACAATCAATATACTTTGATTATTAGGCTCTGAAGAATACAAAAAGGTATAAGGAAGGAAGAAAGTATAATTCTATACTA